AGTGTGCTCATATCTTGATGTTTCTTCATGATTTCTTTGCTGTATTGCATTGAGCATGTCATCACGATTGCGTGGCAACAAACGCAACATGATTTCGTGCCCAAACAAAGATTTTGCAGTCTTAAGTTTTTGGTCGGAATCTGAATTCCGGTGGCCAAAATTTACATCAAATTTATTGGCTACGCGCTCGAAATCCGACTGTTCATCATTTACGGGGTTCTAACCAATAGTAGCCATGTACCTTACGCACATGATGGAACTGGTCTCGTGTCAATCCGATACGCAAGCACCGTGATATGGTTACTCAAGCGGGACGTGTTATTGCTGAATTCCTGCAACTTCCTTTACGAATTGTCGACTTCTCTCTAGCTTTTCTTTCTACTCGGACGTCACATGTCACATATCAAAACGCTCGTCTTGATGAGACAAACACACTCACAAAATTCGAGCGTGACTCAAGACGAGTGAGATATGGCTCCCGAAAGTCACTATCAGAGACCGTAGAAACAGTCACCTTTAATGGTGATTTGGTGCAGGGAGGGGACACGAGAATAGTGTGCGGCCTAACCCTTTCGGTCTTTTACCCATAACTTTGTTTTGAAGAGTCTGATTAAGCCGAAACTTGACCCATAGGGGTTTTCGACCATGCCGGATCCAATGAAGATGGTCCCCACAGCTGTTTGATACACTGAAAATAGAGTTCTAGTTACGAGGTCCTTTTCAGGGTGTTAGAGACTGATTTTTTCGAAATTGTTTCCTTGTTTGCATTGCTTAGACATGTCGGATTGCGAAGAAATTTGACAGGTGGCCTTGTGAAGTCCCTATGAGTATTTCCACTTGTTCTGGGACAATTCTAAGATTGTCGAGAATTCCACTGTAATTTAGGCTTTATTGATCGACTTGTCTTTTTTATTCCGCATCGGGGACCAAAGGTGCTGAAAAATATCTTCAAACAATAAAATCTAGGCACGGTGGACCATGCAGGCGTCGAGTCGAATGTGGTGGTGGGGGAGCTAACTACTCACTTAGGTGCATGTTGGCTACACGAGGACCAACCGATTGTGCAAGATGGGGACCCCTGGTGGCTAAAATGGACACGACCAGTGTATGGAAATGGGCGTCGGTTGGAGCTGCGGTTTATGGGGCTCTAGTGATGGCCAAGCATTCGACAAGGACATCAGAGTTTCGGTGGGGGAGGCCTATAAGAACCCATTTCTCCAAAAGCCTCATGTAACTCGTATGATATGTGTGTGCAGGCAGCTAAGTGCAGAGGGCCCGGTGTAAGGGTACGAACAATGCTAACTAGCAGGAGAAAGCTGAGCGTATGACAATCATTGATCCGAGAGGGAACCTTGGGGTCAAGCGGTAGAATGTAGTTGACAATGCAGATGACTGTGGTGCATGATCACGGTAGTGGTACGTAATCGAGTGATGGTGGTACACGACCAGAGGCTAGCAATGCGTGACTGAGAATTAAGTATGCTCTTCTGCTATGTTGTGGCACTAAAAGAAGCTGAACCTGGTATCCAAGTATTGCCTGCTTGGGTGCTAGGGGCGCATGGGCTAGGAGATGAAAAAGCTTATGTGTATGAAATTCTAGTAATCACAAATTTATTATTAATGATATAATTAGATAGCTATATTTACATGAAAGTAAATACATGAAAGTAACATATTCATAATATTTGATTAGGATCATATGCATTTTCATAATTGTTATAATAATCAACGCAACATTATAATTGCATTATTGGTATTGTTAAAAATATCATCATGTTTATTATTATAATAGACATGAATACAAACAATAATTATAACCAAAATTATTAATTACAAGAACTAGAACCATTATTGATGAATTATATTGAGTAAATAGAATAGTTGTTTACAAATTTATGGAATTTTCATAATATTATTACATTATATTAGCAATACAAATTTATCCTTATGCAATAAAAATAGATGAAATTATATTATGCTAATTTTGTAATTATTTAATAATACATAATTATTAAAATTTTAGTTATGAAATTTGTAATTAATAATTAGAATAGAATAAATTAGTCATATTTAAATATTTTCTCATAAAATTATATTGAGATATAAAAATCGTTTTAACTTGCAAGAAAGAAAGAATTTAGAAAATTAATGAAGTTTAATATTACATGACATTCAATAATTTCTTATGTAGTACTGTCATTTGAAAGTCGCTATTGTATCTTCCTAATGGGGTACTTTCATAATCTTTGTAATAGAAGCTTAAGTTATTTGTATACTACAAAGAAATTAAGCCATAATATGAGGGTGTTATATTTCCATTTTATATGTCCCAAATTGTTTTTAAGGTGCAGTTTGCATAGAGCCAAGGCTCTAAACAATCGAAGTAGAGCGTACATTCAAATAGTGTTGAGAAATGTGGTTTCAATACTAAAAATCTTTGTGATAGTCTTACAATATATTTTCATCTCTAATTATAAAATTTAAAGTGTAAAAAATAGTGTAGATCGAGCAGATCTATGAAAAGTTGAAATCTTGAAAATTGACGGTTCGAAAATGCTATACGAGATACACTATTTCCAAAACTTGAATTTTTTTCTCATGTTCATGCATCTTGATGTCGAGATGATCAATTTGAAGATATTTGAGCATCAACACAACCTCTTCTAGTGAAATTTTTGAGGACCGCTCTAATTTGATTGTTTAGAGCCTCGGCTCCATATAAACTTTGTCTTTCTTTTTATATATACGTCGTAATTGTGGACAATTTGTTATTTTGGGTCGTTGTAATAATGACAGTTATAAAGAACAATGGCAAAGGGTTTAACACACTATTTTATGTCCATCACAACCATTTATTATAAAAAAGTTTACAAAATAATCTCTTTGACTCTTCATGAGAAATGGGTAAACTTTTTTTCTTTAATATTATTGTAACTCAAATTTGAGAAATTTTTAGTGTACGTGTTAACATAAGTGGTGCTTTATATATAAGATAGATGGAAAAAGTTTATATAAGGATGCTACCTTATAATGTAGAACTACATATGCCCCCTCAAGAATCTATTGGAAAAGGTAATTTTAATATTGAAAAACCCTTTGATTGATCATCTCGACATCGAGATGTATGACAATGAAAAATAAAAAGATTTTAAGTCACAAAAATAGTGCATTTTACAACATATTATCCATACCGTTCATTTTCAAGATTTTCATATGTTTATAGATCTACTTGGTTTTAACCATTTTTGAATTTTAAAATTTTATAATTAGATATAAAAATAGATTTGAGATAATCCTAAGAATATTTTACATCAAAATTATATCCCATAATAAAATTTGAAGGTGCACCTATCTCTATACCTACGGATGCATCCTTATGCCAACTGCACCCAAGATAGATATGTAGATACATATAGATAAATAACACTTCATTTTGTAATACGTGATTATGAACCGCATTTCCTCCCTTCAAAGTAGAGAAGATTTGACGCATCTTAACTTGGATTAATTTCATTAATCCTTTTAGCCTTTACAAAGTGCAATGTTTTTATTGCATATAAAAATGCCGTTCGATCAATTGACTAACAAAAATGCGTAGTGGTCCTTGTTAATAATTCTCTAATCTCATTCACGGGTACCATAACAATGTGCTCGCCCTGCATCGTGTTCATTGAATGGCCTTCTACAACGAGACTGGACATGCATGACCTTTTTCCGTGTATCAACTGTTTTGAAATTTGAAGTCATTCCCATTATCAAAATCTAAAAAGGTAGGTTTTAGGTGCATCAAGTCGATTTTTGATACTATACTATTAATCTAATCTGTATTTTTTTTAACCACCCCTAAGTACAAAAGTCATTCTTTCTCACTTTTTAATTTTTTTTTTTTGCCAAAATACCATCTTTTGCCCATGTTTTCCCACTATCTCTTTAGGCCTATTTGGCACAAAATATGCCGGGCTGGCACAACTTGTATAGAGCTAGTTAGATACATTTTTTGTGCCAGACCAACTCTATATTCAACTTGTGTCCGTTTGGCACAACTTATAAAGAGCTGGTTCGACACTTTTGTTTTGCCATACCAACTCTATATTCAACTTGTCTTGGTTTGACCCATTTTTGTGTTGAACTGATGTATGTTGGACGTTATGTTTTTGAAACATGGGTTAAAATGGGAGATATTTTGGTTTAAAGAAATTAACTTTTTTATTTCCTTGCAAAAAAAAAGGAAAGTGTTGTGTAGTATCAACTATATTGGGAGAAGCTGGCAAGTACGTATTGGAGGTATCTATAATTTTTCTACAAAGAAAAATGCATTTTTGTCATTTACACTGATAATTTTACTTGTGGACCCGGCTTCTATGTGGGCAAGCCGGCATATGTAAAAATGCGGGCCTCTTAATAAATCTATTTTGGAGATGGATTTTAAGACTTAATTTTTAAAGGCATATAATTTCTAACATAGGAGTCATGAATATAAAAAAATAAATAAATTTTAAAAACTAGAATTAACAATTCTAAAAAAAAACATTTGGTAATACGTACGTGCATCCATCTTGATGTTTTACATTTTCTGGACTGCATATGTAGAAATGCGGTCCAGGCCGCATCAAACAATTTTCCTGTGGTTGTTCCCCAAAACCACACGTACGTTAAGATCAAGACATGTCACCATTGAACCTAAAAAACGAACGACATGTCACCATCCGACGTGGATGCCACGCCCTTCGGGCTTAACCGAGACGCTCGGTTAGGTCCATCCAGTCGGCCCCACCCTAGACCGACTTCCCTCTTTATTTTTATTTATTACTTCTTTTCTATAAGGTGTTAACGGGACACGTGGCCTGATCTCACTGGCCCGATTCCTGTACAGCTCAAAGCGCACCGTCGTCCAAAGGCGAGGACACGCGTCCGTATGGTGAGAGAGAGGGCGGGGAAGATGGACGGCTGAGATGGTTGGCAAGGTGAGCGGCGTTTAATAGTAATGTCGGGATGATTCTTCTTCTCTACGCTGCTGGTGTTTTTGGGTGAGGAGACCCGTGTAAAAGGAAAGAAGCGGCGCGATCTTCGTCTCTTTCATTTTTTACGGCGAGATCCGCTGCAATCTTTCAGGCCTTTTCCGGCGAGATCTGTGAGCTTAGTGTCTTTTCCCAGCGAGATCTGTAACGTTGTGGTCTTTTTCCGGCGAGGTTGTAACGTTGTGGTCTTTTTCCCGCGAGGTCTGCGGAGCTTCGCTTAGATGATGGATTGGAGGGTGGTAAAGAGAGAGACATAGAGTTTCGCCAAGAAAGAGAGACAAAGATCTTTGCCTTATCTGCAAAAGAAGAGGGAGGAAAGATCAATCCGACGATGCAGTTCTTTCTGGGCAGATTAATTTAGTGGTATTTCATTCTCCTTCTCTCTGCATAGCGTTCTGAATTTTTTCAGATCAACTTCTTTTTTTATTCTCTTGTTTCTTCCTCGATCAATCGGCTTATTCTATTAATCAATTGATCAATCTTTGAACAAAGACCTCAACCACTCAAATGAAACCCTTCCATTTTGCATTTTCTTAAAGAATCTCCTCTTCGTTTACCCATTATCATTATCATTGGTTTTAGGGTTTTCTTGTCAGTAGCACACAACAACCTTGAGGCTTCTGACTTGGTGCAGATCTCATCAGGGACTGGCTGTTTCTCATTGAAGCGTGAATTCAATTTCGGGCATAAAGATTTTCCGGCTCGATTCTGAAGCACCTTAGTAGCCTAAATACAATCATCAATTGCAGGTTCAGGTCCTTCCAGTCGGTGAAGGAGGTGGCTGATTGCCCAGCTGATTGAGGGCTGTCAAGTTGGGCTCACGGATTTCTTGATTAAGGAGCAGCTGAATACGATCATCATTTGAGGGCAGCAGTTGTTTGAATTAATCAAAGAGGGGGACTGTTCTCTTTGGCTGAGACAATAACATGGCACCGAGCACGATCCGGAAGGCCCTGGGGGCTGTGAAGGACCAGACGAGCATTGGCCTTGCAAAAGTGGCGAGCAGCATGGCACCGGAGCTCGATGTCGCCATCCTCAAGGCCACCAGCCATGACGAGGATCCTGCCGATGAGAAGTACATCCGTGAGATCCTCAACCTCACATCCTACTCTCGGGGCTATGTCAGTGCTTGCATCGCAACTGTTTCTCGGCGCCTTGGTAAGACACGCAATTGGGTTGTCGCCCTTAAAACCCTAATGCTTGTTCATAGGCTTCTCACAGATGGTGACCCCTCTTTCCAAAATGAGATCTACTATGCCACTCGTCGAGGTACCCGCCTCCTGAATATGTCAGATTTTCGAGATGAGTCTCAGTCCCATGCCTGGGACTACTCAGCATTTGTTCGGACCTATGCTCTTTACCTTGATGAACGACTGGAATTGAAAGTTTATGAATCAAAGCAGGGCAGTAGAGACCGGAGGCCTCCTGACTATGATCGCGACTCTAATGATTACAATTACAATGCTAGGTCTCCTGGCCACTATGATCGTGACCGTGGATATTATGATCGTGATCGGGATGAGCGCAGACCACCAGCTGCCCCGAGCACCCCGCTTCGTGAGATGAAGATAGAGAGAGTTTTGGGGAAAATGCAGCATCTGCAGCAGCTGCTGGATCGATTTTTAGCATGTCGGCCCACAGGAACTGCGAAACAGAGCAGAATGGTACTCATTGCACTCTACCCAATTGTTCGTGAGAGCTTCCAGCTCTATGCAGACATATGCGAGGTCCTTGCTGTCCTCCTTGATAGGTTCTTCGACATGGAATATGCACACTGTGTCAAAGCATTCGACGTGTATACGAGTGCAGCAAAGCAGATTGATGAGCTGGCTGCACTTTATGGCTGGTGCAAGAACACAGGTGTGGCACGTTCGTCAGAGTACCCCGAGGTGCAGAGGATCTCCGACAAGCTTCTTGACACGTTAGACGAATTTGTGCGCGATAGGGCCAACCAGGACCGCAAGCCCAAGAGCCCGGAGCCAGAAGCCCCTGCTCCTCCACCACCAGAGGAGCCAAAACTAGAGGAGGAAGAGCCTGATATGAGAAGCATCAAGGCATTACCAGCGCCTCCAGAATGGGACGAGCAGCAGCAGCAACTGCCATCAGAGAAGCCAAAGCAGGAGACAGGCGACCTGGTAAACTTAAGCGAAGATGCAGTCACTCTCGAAGATCAAGCCAACAAGTTTGCCCTCGCCCTATTCTCAGCCGACGGGGCAAAAGCAGCATCAGGTTCGTCATGGGAGGCATTCCCCTCTTCCGGCAAGGAGGAGGTGACATCAGCATGGCAATTAGCAGAGACCGGAAAGGCAGAGTGGGAGCTTGCATTAGTAGAATCAGCTAGCAATCTCTCAAAGCAAAAGGCAACATTAGCAGGTGGGTTTGACCCATTGCTATTGGATGGAATGTACGAGCAGGGGGAGAGCAAGCAGCAGCAGGGCGTGTTGCTCAACAGCGGGGGCAGTGCAAGCAGCGTGGTGCTTCCAGCACACAGGGGTGGAACATTTCTTGCACTGCCCGCGCCACCCGGGGCTCCGGTTGTGGCGCAGAGTGGGGAAGATCCATTTGCAGCATCTCTGGCAGTGCCACCGCCACCATACGTGCAAATGTCAGACTTGGAAAAGAAACAGCAGTTCCTGACCCAAGAGCAACAGCTGTGGCAGCAATATGCTAAGGATGGAATGCAGGGGCAGCTCGGGCTTGCGAAACTCCATACGAATGGGACCATGCCTTATGGGATGCCGGCATATGGAATGGGCATTGGAGGAGCAGCATATGGAATGGGCATGGGAGGAGCAGGGTACTACACTCACCACTGATTTCATCTCATCAGGCAATTTGGCAAGCAAACAGCGGTTATTGCTCATTTCCTTTGCTTCATCGTTCGCATTGAGGGATTCATCAGTTGATTTAGAGAGAGGAGAAATGGGGAAAGTGATGAGCTTTCTATATATATATATATTTATTTATATATATATATTGAGAGAGAGATTTGGGTATGGTGGGGCTAATCGGGGGTATTTGTTCTCTTTTATTTGGGTGGTTTCTCTCACAACTACAGTTGCTTTGAAGCAAGAAATGAGCAAGGCCCTTGAGAGTCTGTTAGTCTGTAATTTGGAGGTGACTTTTCTTGTTTTCCCTCCCATTTCTGTTTGTTTCTTAAACTTTTATGCTCATCCCCTTCGTTTGTTGGTGTTAATAGTAGGAAATGTTGGTGCTGGCTTTGCCTTTTGATCTGCTTCTGTTTCTGTCTCTATTTTGGCTGGGTTTCGCCATTTTCTATTTCCTGTTCTTATGATGTGTTAGCTTGGATTGTTGGGATGTCATTATTTTAGGTCAACGATGGAGAGAGGTGGGGCTGAGTTTGTTGGCTTTGCACAAGTATGCGAGCTGGGTTGGTGTATTGTATTATTTTTGTCCATTTATCATCTCTTTGCTTGCTCTCCTTTTAACGTCCTATCAAGGGCGAAATATAGACCACAAAAGGAAAGATTATTTCCTGCCTTTTACTGTTGGTTGACTCTTGTCATGGACATCAATTTGTTCTGCAGTGCGATTGTGAAATATGATAGAAGATGTTCTTCTGGATTCTTTTGTTTTGTAATATATTCTCTCACTGAAATCTTCATAGAAAACTTACCTACCCCTTTGCTCAGACTTCTCAAACAGGGATTGAAATTGATCGGGACCAAGTAGGTTCTCGAAGAGGGAGTCGGACACTTGAGCGATGGTTCTTATCAGCCTGTCACAGTCCTTTTTTGTTATTTTCGGCAAAAAGTGGCTGAGTTGGATTTAAGACTCGATTTCCACTTATCAACTGATTCTGTGATGAACTTAGGCTGCAGACAACTAGCAAGTGAGATCTGACTTTTAAAAAACTGGTTTAAGTTTCTTTGGCATCCAAACATTCCTATCTGTGTTCTCTGGCATTGGAAGTAAAGCTCACTATCTGATATCAGCTTAACTCATTTTCCTCATTGGTATGAACTGTAATGGTTTGGGCTTGATAGGAGAGATCTTAGCTTAAGTTATGAATTGAAACCAATATACAATATGAACTGTAATTGGGGGATTTGTGAATTCCCATTTTTTTATTTGCATGTCTTTGACACTCGATCCCCTATCTGAAACGCTGGGTCCAAGGCCAATTGTTAATTTATTGAATGCGTAAAGAACAGCAATACCTTCTGCTTGAGAGACCCCTTGCGAGAGGGATGGGCTATCCATGGCAGTGGATAAGACACTGGAAAACTCAAGAAATCTTTGAATCTCTTGCAGATGAGTTCTATAAATGTAAAAAATCAGTTTTGCACAATATTTTTTGTTATACATTATTTCTTGTGTAGTATTTATGACATTTCAATGTTGTAGCAACATTTTTGGACTTGGTGACAAGCTGGTTTCCCATCCTGCATTTTTTTGAACTCCTAAAAATGAAATTGAAAGTTGACTCGATTTTTTCCAATGTTTGAGTCAGCCTCTGATCTCATGTTTTGGACACTAGATCCTACCATCTTCCAATCCATTCCCCAGGTTTTAGCTGCCATGTTTGTAGTTGCAATTAGCTGCAATAGGCTCCTCATAATGCTGTCTAGCTATTACCTTCAGATGGTTCAAATTTGTTGTAATGGGTTCATCTGATTGTGGCCTCTTCAAACGAAATGGTAGTGTAGACTAGCTTGTGCTGCCTTCAAATGGTATAGGAACCCATCTCAAACGCTTGTGTAGGCTTCACCTGGTTAAATTTGGTCCAGGGGGATCTAGAGTTTATTGGTTCGTAGGATCTTCAACTTACAAGGGGCTTCTCTGCAAATATCATATGTTGTTACTCCCTCTCGTGGCATATCTATGCAAGTTGGATGGCATCGCGCCAGCGCGACTGTTTGCGTCTCGGACAAAGCAGCCAACTGCAGGAAAAGTTTTCCGGCAGCTGCTTTTGGCCCAGATTTTCCTCGGGTTTCCTGATTTGTTCTGCTTCTTGTTTCTGTTTTTCAGGGAAAAAAAATGACAGTAGTTCGATTATTTCTTTATCTTTTCCTTATACACATTCTGCACCCACCACTTGTATGAATGCTTTACACACCTGAAATGACGCAAGTGCACATTCGAAATGGTTTCAAAGGATTTTTCTAAAACCCCTTACACCGACATCAACATCGTGCGGTATCCTAGCTTTTGGTGTGGGGTGGTTGGGGATACGTCAACACCGATACGAGTACCCGTTTGAGTTTCCTAACCCTGACAGAAACCCACATATACTAATCCTAGCTTCTGCTTCCTAACCACGGGAGCAACCCACATATACTAAGCCCAGCTTCTGCTCTTGACCAGCAGCTTGGGGCTTATGTGGGAACCCATATAGACCTAAATGTTTTCAGCGTTTTCCTTACTAGAAACCTCTCTTGAGCCTAACCTACCCATAGAGTTTAAGCTCAATTCATTTTTCAAACCAAACCATATATCATGTGCCTTGCGTTGATCCAAGTCCAAGTTTAAGTTTAGCCAAGTCCAAGTCTATGTCTAGTTGGATTGGAGGCTAAGGCTAGTTAGGTCTAAGTTTAGGCTCAACTTGGTTTGAGTCTAAGTTTAGCTAGGTCGAAGTTTAGGTCTAGGTCATGAGTCTAGCACTAGTTCTAAATCCAGGATGAACACTAAGTCTAAAAGTTTTGAGTCCAGGTCAAGTCTACGTAAGTCTAAAAGTTCGAGTCCAGGTCAAGTCTACGTCCAAGTTAGAGTCTGCATCTAGGCCTAGGTCTAGTCCAAGTCTAGGTTTGAGACGAGGCCGGGCCAGTACAAGTTAGGAGCAACTTGATAGTCTACCCAAGTCCAAGAGGCATGATTCAGGTTAAACCAAGGTGAGATCCGACTGTATAGTTTTAGCACGGCCTAGGCTTAGGATGCTAGAGGGGCATCATCAAAGTGCTCCTCCAACCCATAAGACCCATTTGGGTGAATCCAGTCACAACCCACGCTCCTCCAACCCATAAGACCCATTTGGGTGAATCCAGTCACAACCCACGGGGAACCACAGTTAGTCACCTAGCTCCATAGATCAGTAGTCATCCTGGTCTAGGAACCATAGCCCACCAAGTTAGTAAAACCTATAACACCCCAAATAGTCCGAAGATCGAGTGGGCAATCCTTCAAGAATTAGACATTTGTCGAAAATTAGGCACATATGGCCAACTCAAGTTAAACATGCAAAATCCTAAAACCCTTAGGCCAGTCAAATTGAATTGGGTTAACTCTGGCACTCCGCCACCCTCATCGTAGTCATCTTGAACGGCTCCTTGCGGTCAAACCTTGCATCTAAACCTTGACAAAACCAGAGTGGTGCAATCCAAAGTCTACCGCGGGCCCCAACCTAGCGGCCTAGTCAAGATCCTCTTCACATCCATCGCCAGCCTAGTTAAGTGAGTCGGCTTAAGGCCTCAAGTCAGTCAGCCGTTACCGGTAAGCCTAATCGGTTCGCAATCCAAACCTACCCCTGTCAAGTTCAGTTGGTCCAACTGCCACAGACCTACTAGCGTTTGGTCCAGCCTACCTTCGTGTGCCACAGGCCCAAGTCTACAACCCTATGGCTCAGTAATTTCAGGCTACGCCACTAATCCATAACTACCTTGTGTTAGCTCAACCAATTCATCGAGCCACAAAACTATCTTTACTATGCAGGGGTTTGTACGCCTCTCAAATCATAGACATCACTATGTATCAATTCCAGTAATCTAGAACTTCTTTCCAGTTTATAGAATAGAAAACCCTAGTTTTCTCTTTCCATAACCATCTTTCTCTCTCTGTTTCTCGTGTGTCATCTCCACTTGACCCCAATTTTCTTCTTTTCGTTGAGACAATTTTCTGATTCTTCAAGAATCCACCCAGTTTTTTTCGTGAACCCTAATTTAGTAAGTCTCTTTCTCTCTCTGTCTCTACAAATTTTTGGAATGAGCATATTCTATAATTGTCCAACTAGAAAATAGCAACAATAGCAACAACTGCTGAAGAGTGGTCGGACTCCAGCTAGTTCGAAGTTGTCTGGTAAACAATGGTCAGTTTTAGGCGATTTTTCTGAAACCATTTGTGGAATCTCCATGACCTGCTAACTTGGACCGTTTCTTGGAGTCCACAATGCCTGGCGTTCCAACTCAATATTTTTCTAAGATGAGTACCAGGGGTTGGAGAACATGCGATATAGATTCTTAACCCATCTTCACCCTTCGATACATATGGGAGTCTTTCAAGGAATGGAGCGCATATGGGGTGGGTGTACCTTTAGTTTTTAATGGTTGTGAGCCAATAGTATCTAAGGGAGTCTTTCAAGGAATGGAGCGCATATGGTGTGGGTGTACCTTTGGTTTTAAATGGTTGTGAGCCAGTGATATCCAAGGGAATCTTTCAAAGAATGGAGCGCATATGGTGCGAGTGTACCTATAGTTTTAAATGCTTGTGAGCTAGTTGTATTCAATAGAATCTTTCAAGGAATGGAGCACATATGGTGTGGGTGTACATTTGGTTTTATATGATTGTGAGCCAATTATTTAGTATTATGTTCCATACCTCTGCCAATCAACTCTATGAAAATACCTCGAAGGGTGTTGCGAATACCTGGCAGTGTGGTACAATTTATTGCATTGAATTGAGAGCCACTTGGTGAATAGCTCAAGTTTCTGTGCTATCCCTGGCAGTGTGGAACAAACATATTCCATAACCCTTCAGCTAGAAGCAAGCAAAAATAGCAGCAACTGATGAAGAGTGGCCAGAATCCAACAAGTTTATAGTTTTGTTGTGAAGAGTGGCTGAATTCGGGTGATTATCTGAAGCCATTTGTAGGGACTCGTTGACTTGGTCACTTAGGCCATTTCTTGGATTCTACAACGCCTTGCATTCCAGCACAGTACCTTTCTAAGATGAGTAGCAGAGGATATAGAACATGGGATATGGATTATCCACCCTTCTGCACCCTTGGATACCTATAGGAATCCTTCAATGAATGGAATGCATATGGTGTGGGTGTACTATTGGTTTGAAATGGTTGTGAAACAACTGTATCCAAGGGAGTCTTTCAAGGAATGTAGCGCATATGGTGTGGGTGTACGTTTGGTATTAAATGGTTGTGAGCCAGTTGCATCTGAGAGAATCTTTCAAGGAATGGAAGGCATATGGTACGGGTGTACGTTTAGTTTTAAATGGTTCTGAGCCTTCTGTCTCCAAGGGAGTCTTTCAAGGAATGGAGCACAATTTGCATGGGTCTACCTATGGTTTTAAATGGTTGTGAGCCAATTGATTAGTATTGTATTCCATAGCTCTCTACCATTCAACTCTATGCAGATACCTCGAAGGATGTTGCGAATACGAGATATATACTTAGTTTAATTTTTACTCTCTTATGGATTTTTGAGGTGCACCTTTAGTTATACATTTTAAGGTCACAACTTTATATAAACGTTTTCCTTTTTCAAAAGCTAACACGTTCTAGTGCATTAATAAACTGAATAGTAATTTCTTCC